GGTGTGAAGATATATTTATATTTAATACAAACCGCCCGACCAGTTAGTGTGCAGCTGAGTCTCTAGTCCTAGCTAGCCTGTTAACCATAACGCGGAGCGTGGAGCCCGTGTGCGTGTAGGAAGAACAAAGCGTCGCTAAGGAGCCGCTGTCGACCACCCATAACGCAGAGGGCAAACGCTCGTACACGTGTAGGGGGAGCCAGAGACAGGGCCGTCTCTGGAGGCATCTGAGCATCAACATGACTGTTCGGGGGTTCGAAAAATCATTTAGAGAGCAAACATGGAGAAAACATCTCAGAGAAACATTATGGCGATTAACGAAGATTAGAGAATATTTAAAAAATATTAAAGCGTGACTTAGCTTTAGATAGAACGTCTGGTCGGCGTGGTAGCATGCAATGAGTTGTTGGTGAAGACGACATCGGAGACGGTTCCGAGATCGGATCTGCAGTCGCAGGTGTTGGGGTGATCGGTGCAGTACTGATCTGCACCGGCTCGATGAGCTCTCTGACTCCGTCAGCGTTGATGATCCACGAGATCGATCCGACCATGATGATCTAGCTAGGCTATGGGAGGGATGAAGAGCCTGTTGAATGTACCATCTTGTTCGATATAGAAACAGCACGCACACCCCTACCTAGCGCGCCAACTGTCGATAGAATATCATCGGCAGTCCTCCAAGGGGTATCCCACGAAGGTAGATTGATCGGCAGAGAGGCGTGTAATCAAGAACAAGATGGCAACAGAGACACATGAGTTAGACAGGTTAAGGCTATCAGTATGACGTAATACCCTACTCATGTGGTCTGTTGGATTGTATTGGCTATCGTATGATATTGCTTGTGTTTGGAGGGGTCCCTACCCGCCTTATATAGTCTGGAGGGCAGGGTTACAAGTCGGTTAGATCTGAGAGATAACCAGAAAGTAATAATAGATTACAGGAATCATGGGATCATACGTATCCTAATAGATCTCGTAGTATCTTCATGATATCTTCCCGGTGTCTTGCGGGAGGCGCCGAACAGCGTCGTGCCCCGCAAGGCTTCGTCTTGTGGGCTGGGCCGCCCCTAGGGGCGTAGCCCATGTGGTCTGCCATGGGTATCTAGGGTCATACCCCCCACAAGTCTCCAATGCTGATGGTCTCTACAATCAATCATCCACTTTTTGATGGCACCCAAACAATTTTGGGTCATCTCAAGTTAGGAGCAACATACTTAGGCATTGCCTTAGTATGAGTAGCGGGATGTTTTACAATAGCAACCATAGAGGTACCATTACCATCCTTTCTAAGCACATTATTATCAATAATTGAAATAGGCTTAGAATTGTTACCTAGGGGACATGAATGTGCCATGTGTCCCCTTTCTCGGCATGAGTAGCACTTTCTCTTTGATTGAGCCTTCTCTTCCTTGCTCATGTGGTGCTCCCCATTGCCTTGCCTCTCATTGATTGCTTGAGCCTTCTTCTCAAGCTTGGTAGGACACTTAGAGGCAAACTGTCCCGTATTTTCACACTTGAAGCACTTGATGTGAGCATAATGTTTCTCCTTATCTTCATTCTTGCTCATCATCTTGGCATCTTGAGTTTGCCTTGCCTTTCCACCCCTTCTTGTTTTCTTCTTCTTTATCATCAAATCACCACCATCTTCATGGTTGATCTTGATTTGCTCTTAGGGTGTCTTCTCTTGCTCAACTTATGGCTTTGGTTGATGCTCTTCTAGTTGCTTCACCAATTGCTTGGTTAGGCACATTGAGGTAGGATGACCCCAAGTACGACACTTGAAGCACTTGACATGCTTTAGCATCTCTTCTTTTATCTTCTTGAGCTTCTCAATGTTAGGGCAACCATTTGCAAGGTGTCCCGCTTTATGACACTGGTAGCACATGGTATGAGAGAGCTTTCTTTGTTGTAGCTTCTTCATCTTTCTTTCTCTCTTTTTTTGCCCTTTGTCATCTTCTTCTCGAAGCTAAGGCCACACTTGTCACCATAGTTTCTTTGAGTCTTCAACATGTGCTCAAAGGTGACTTTTGAGTTGTAGCACCTCTCTAACTTGTTGCTCAAATTCTTCACTTCATTTTTGAGCTCATTGTTCTCCTTCAAAAGGTTAGTCTCACAAGACATAGAAGTAGAACAAGCATCTATTTGTGAAGAACATGGCATATCTAATAAATCATCACAAGAGGTGGATATATGCCTCTTGCCTACATCACAAGGGTTAGCAATAATATGTGATTAATCAATTGACCCATGTGATGAGCTCTCACTAGTTTTAGTTTGTCCATTGGAAATCTCCTTAGTGAGAAAAGCATGGTCTTGTACCAAGTTATCATGAGTGACTCTCCAAACACCCAAATCAATCGTCTTAAGGTGACAAGCCATTCTAGCTTTATAATAAGGGAAGTTAGTGTCGTCAAAGTGCGGAGGCCTAGAGGTATCCATCCCAACCGCTCTAAATAGCATCGGCTGAACGGCGGTTAAGCCAAAGGTCCAAATTGAGCCAACCTGGCTCTGATACCACTTGAAGGGGACCGTGACATCTAAGAGGGGGGGGTGAATTAGTCAACTTAAAATTCCAATTCTAAACTATGGCCTCTTTTCTAACCTTAGCAAAACCTATGTAAAAGATAAACTATCTAAATGTGCAACTACGATTTTGCTAGTGTATTGCTATCTCTACCGTAAAAGGAGTAATGTAAACAATATAAATGCGGAAGCTAAAGAGCAAGGTAGAGATATGTAAACTCCCATCGACGACTCTGATATTTTTACCCAGGTATCAAGAAGCGCGCAAGCTTCTCCCTAGTCCTCGTTGGAGCCCCTCGTAAGGAATCCCTCGCAAGGGCCAAGCTCTCGGTCAGGTAACTCCGTGGATAGCCTCGGGCCTTCCCCACGCACAAGTGGGTCTCCGACATGCCTTCCGCCAAGCCTCTCCCGGATGCTCCCCGCCGTCTTCACTATCAAGTTTCCGGCCGAAACGCCGCGGGCCTTGTTCCCTCCGGTACACGATGGCGGCCAGACCACAAACATGGTTGGTGTGATCTCGCAAGATTACAAGCCCCTCCGATGTACAACAATGGTGCGCGCAAGCACCGGGTAGTAAGAGGTTTGCAAACCTCACTAAACACTAGGCCTAAATCTAGAGCAAGCGCATAAGCGGTGGTTTAATCAACCTAAGCACTTTGTAAAGCACCTATGCTAATCACCTAATGAAACACTGAGCACTATGCAAGTGGAGATCACTAAAATGGTGTACCAACACCCTAGATATGTTTTCCTCGGCTCCACTCAACTCAAATGGCCGGTTGGGGGGTCTATTTATAAGCCCCACTGAGAAAGTAGCCGTTGGGGACGAAATCCCACTCTTCTGTCACTGACCGGACGCTCAAGTCGTCCTGATCGAATGCGTTTGGTCGTCCTGACTGTTAGAGCCATGATCAACTGATCGGACGCTGCCAGCGTCTGGTCACATGCCACCGGACGCGTCCGGTCGTAATTTCGCCGCTCTAAAACCTTTCTGTACTCGATCGGACGCTGCAGTCCAGCGTCCGGTCAGCACTAGATGTGTTGCCGGTGATGATGAACAGTACCATCGGTGCGTCTGATCACTTTATTGTTCAGCGTCCGGTCGATGCTGCTGACGCCTTCTGTTGCCGAGCCTCTTGATCGGAGCGTCCGGTTGCTATACCAGCGTCCGGTCACCTCTGTGAGCTCGTTTCTTCGCGATCTTACGTCCAGCTTGGTTCATATCTTCGTGCTTGGACTTTGCTTGATATCTTGGATCTTCTCTTGTGCTTCTAAGGTCTTGCTTATGGTGTTGATCATCGAATCATCACATCGCCTTTATCCAAGTCACGTCTTGCACCCTATTGAACTACAAAACAATCAGTTGTAAATTCAGTAGTCCAATTTGATTATGTTGGTCATCAAACACCAAAATCCAAAGTAAATGGGCCTAGGGTCCATTTTCCTTACACTCATCCGGGCTTTCGGGTCCCGCCTGGGCGGAGAGAGGAGGGGTTCAGGGGAAGGAGTGCAGGTCGTAGCCAGGGTGCGCGTGCGGGGCAGGGCGAGGCGGACAGGAGCGGGGTACGCGTGTGGGGTGGGGGGCGAGACAGATGGGGGGTGGACGTGCGCGTGCAACAATGATACGGTGCAGCAGCAGGCATGGGCGGGCGGGGCTGGCGTAGCAACATGCACGGGGCGTCCGGACGCACTCATTTGCTCTGAACGTCCGGGCGCTAGTAATTCCCATAGTATAAAACAATCAAGTTATTTGTTGAATTATCGGCTCTCTATCTCTGATGAAATTCAAAGGACATAACTCTTGATAGTTTGACGAAGCTAAGGGCACATTTCAAGTGTTTGACATACTCGAATACATGGAGGGCTTCCGGCAGCTAGAAATGAGGTTTGTGGGGTGTGTGGGGGTGGGGTGGGGATATACACAAGAACGAATAGTGGGGTAAAGTAAATGATCATAGTGATTATCATGCCTTTGCAACCGTCCTATTTGTTTGGCTTATAAGCCGTACTTTTTCAGCCAACGAACATTATTTTTCTCTCGCAACAAATCAGCCAACAATACTTTTAGCCATGGCTCCAAGCGAACAGGGCAAACATTTGTAATCTACAGACTACAGTTGATTCAGAAAAGTGGGCAAAAAACAACTCTTTCTACAGGTGCACAACAAACCTCCTCCTCCTCTCTCTCCATCCCTCCCCTCCCCCCCCCCTCTCTCTCTCTCTCTCTCTCTCTCTCTCCCGTGTGGGCATGGCCATATCGAGGACTGACAGATATAACAATTAGGCACAGGTAAATAAGTGGAGGTGAACATATCATCAGTATTGATATAAACAGGTAAACGTAAGAGTGCTTATGTTCATCTGAAAACTCTCTGAATTCCAATCTTGTCGAAACAATGTACATCCATCTGAGTAATAGAACATAAATATGCCTTGAGACAGTTGAACAAAAAAGCCTCGCTAACTGTAATAGGCAATTATTCGCTGGATCCATCATCATCTTTGCTACTAAGGGTGTCATCTTTGCTACTAAGGGTTCGTATTATCGCTTCTAACACCTTGATATCGCTATCTTTCTTCGCAATCTCCTCTTGCTTCAGCCGCAACTCCTCCATGTGCAGCTCAAACACTCCTGCAAAATGTAAGCGCAATCAAAGACAGCATTTTCTCAAAAAATGCTAGCTAATCAAATACTATGCATGATAATGCTATTGTAGAAACAGGGCGGTACATACTTGCAGTATTCTCCAGTTCCTTTGTGACCTCCTGTGTGCGTAACTCTGCAGCTCGTTGTGCAGCTTCGGCCTGACGTTTCTCTGTACGAGCTCGAGCTGCTGCAGAAATGGCGGCATCGAGTTCGCGTTCCAGAGACTGCACCCTCTGGTCAAGAACCTGACGCACAAACAACAATAAACTAGGTCAATGATTTATGGGATAATGGTTGACTTGGAAGACATGATGGCCTATTTGGCTATTTCCCCTTTAAGAACTAAATTGTACTGTAACAGAGTCAAACAGTCAACCACATATAGTCCCTCTGGTTACACTTATCAAACCTGATCAGTGAATGCAAATCAAGGAAACAATATGTTTTGATCTTCTGCAGTTGTGGTATCTACATTGTTTGTAATAATTACCTTACCAGTATAACACATTACAAGCATACACCACTTAATTGTCACATATACATTAAATGATAAGAACTTAACGTTTATTCATCGACTTATTAATAATTTCTCTAGAGATCCCAATATATGAAAGTTTCTGCAATCTAAATAAACTAAATTCATTTGAACTCAAAATAAGAAATACAATTTTACAAAAAAGTCAACTAAATACATATGTCTTAAGATTTTGCGTAAAATGACTTGAAACTACATCACTATGAGTTAATTAAGCTAGAGTTACATGCTCCAAGCAATCAGTGGTAAGAAACACAAGATACAACATATTATGTCCTAGGAGTACAAACTTACAACATAATAAATCTTAGAAGGATAATATGAACTTTTGCATGTGAAGATTAGGTTATTGTGTTCTACATCTCCAAATTAACAAAATACGGAAAATCTGAAGGAACAAATTTTGAGCAAACATAAATTGGTATCCACAATATGGGCGCATAAGTTCACCTCTGACTTTTGTAATAATTCCTCAAGTCACTAGATCAATAATTCAGGTCCAAGCTGCTCACTTTTTACATCAATTTATCTTCAAAATAAGGCTTAACTCATATCATACTGATGTTGGATAATTGCAGTAAAACAACAACCTCGCCTTTGGATGTATTAAGTCTAACACATTCTCCTACAACAAAGACAAATGCAAAGAAATCCGATTTGGAAAAATGGAACAAAAAAGTACCATTTTTGGAATTCAAGTTTACCCATTGCTTTTGAATTACGTTCCATGGAAGGTCAATCAATTCCATGTCACTGGATGCGGAACCAGAGTTGCCTAGCTCTACAAGCCTATGCCAAAGAGACACAAGTCGCACTAAACTGAATCATTCAAGCACTCAAAATCACAACCAGCTCAAGATCCCCTCTTCCTTTCTGAGCAGTGAATTCTACATTTAAAGTGAAGGGGACCGAATCTACGCCCTTCCGGAGGCGGCATCCGCTGATCCAAGAACCCAGATGCAGAGCATAGAGAGGGGAGAACAGCGATATGGGACTCATGGTCTGATCCAGCAGCTACTGCGTATATACCTTAATGGTGCGGGCCTGGTCGGCGGCGAGGGAGGCCTTGGAGAAGATGTCGTCGTCGACGAAGACGGCCTTCCGCCCGAGCAGCTTCTGCAGCGCGTCCACGTTGGCGCCGAGCTCCCCCAGGTTCCCGATCGCGGCACTCCACCGCTCCCCCGACGAGGACGCCGCCGCCGCAGCCGCCGGACCTCCAGATGACGACGAAGGAGAAGGAGACCCCGACCCCGCAGCGCTGTGTGCTGCGGCGACCGCGACGGCCGCGGCGGACTTCTCCCTCTGCGCGGCCATGATCGCCGCACGCCGCCGCCGCCGCCGATCTCGGCGGAGTCAGTCGGCTTAGCTCCCCTTTTCCGCTTCGGCCCCTAGGCTTCCCCGAAATTGCAGCAGACGGGCGACACGGCCTCACTGAGGAGAGGACAACCCGCCCCAGCCACTGATAATGCGATCAACTCGTCTGTGGGACCCACATGCCATCGACGCTACACGCAACCCCTTGTACTCCAAAAATATCCGTCGCCCTCGCCCACCCGCGGCAGTGGATCGAATGGACGGCTGATCCAGCGGCCGTCGAGCCCATCGGACGGCCGCGAGGCTCTCAGGAGCCCTATATCACGATCCTCGCCCCGCACCTCCTGCGCCTCACTCGCGTCCGCCCCCGCCGCCGCCGCCGCCTTTCGTCGCGGCCGCTAAACCCCTCCCCACCCCCGGTCCTTCTCAGGTGCGTGCTTAAACCCTAGCTGCTAAAATTTTCGATTTATTATTTCAGCCTGTTCTCCGTCGGGCTGATGCAACCCGTCGCGGTGGATGATGCGCCCCCATGCCGCGAGCGCTGGCGATCCGTGTCTTTTTCGGCTTCCTTGCGTCGTTGACTCGTTGGGGGCAATTGGGGAGTAGAAGTAGTGTGTTCTATGGTTTATGATTTCGTGTATAAGTTTGGACGTGGGCCGTTTATGGTCGTTCGCGCTCGTGCGCGGCTCGGTGATTAGGGTTTTGCCTGGATCCCCGCGAGATGGGCATTTTTGGTCTTTCTCGATCGGCTTCGTGGTTCCGAACTTCTAGGATGGGTGATTAACTTGCTATTACTTTATTACTCGCGGCATGTTCTCGTGCCTGTGTGAACATGAAGCTGCTGTTTTCATCCTTTTTGCGTCTGTAGCCATTTGTGCCAGATGTTGTATGGGTCCTTATGGTGCAAATGGGCAAATGGAATGCTTTCATTTTGTTTTCTTTCGATTACAATGTTTCATCATAAGAAATGGTGTATTAGGTAGCTCTAGTCAACCACTGTGTAACACCCAAGCTTCTGCTGTTACTTAGGCTGTCTCTTGATGCTACAACACTCAATATCGATGTCACCATTATGGAAGCTTTTTTTTCTTTACTTTGTTACCATGCGATCATCATACAATAGTGTCTCCATTATGTTTATATTTAAAACCTGAATCTCCGTACAGTTTTTTTCTATAACGTTGTGTGCATTTTTTATGCCTTAAACAAGGCAAGGATGTATGTTTCCTTCATCCTCTGTTATAACAAGATGGTGGGCAACTGTTTCTTTCCCCTTTGGTATCAATGCCAGTTAACATTTATAACTATTGCAATCTATAAAATTTTTCAACCAATTGGAAGGTAGCCATTCATTTAGTTATGTCTGATTAGAACATTTATTTATTCCTGGTAAACTTAGGACTTAAGTACTTCAAAACATCACCCCCTCCTTGATTGTATATGTGTATTGGATTATCTATTGATATCTCAGAATCTTACCCTGTTGCAGTTTGGTACAATGGCGCTGGCTAATAAGCTTGGTGGTCTGCTCAAGAAAGCTACGAGTTCAAATCTGTCGGTCTATCAAGCAATCAGATGCATGTCATCCAAGCTTTTTGTTGGAGGTTCTAGCCTGTTTATAATTTGTATCTGCTTGTCAAAATTTTCTGTCCTCTATGATTTCCTGATAGCTGTAAATATTGTTGCAGGGCTTTCTTATGGAACTGATGATCACAGTCTCAGAGATGAGTTTGCCAAATATGGACAAGTTGTTGAAGGTATCATTCCCATTGCTGCACTTGCCTTGGCTCTACCTTTTACTGACCAGTTATGCTTCAATCTGTCCAGCTAGGATTATCCTTGACCGTGAGTCTGGGAGGTCTAGAGGTTTTGGCTTTGTAACTTACACATCTTCTGAGGAGGCTTCAGCTGCCATCACTGCCATGGATGGAAAGGTTAGTTCATACTTTGAATGATTGTGATTTATGGTAGTGATATTTCATCATGTCTCAGTTAGGATATTGCCTACGACTGGCTAATTCTTATAAGATTTGCACCCTCAACATTAATTTAGGCTAATATATGCCAGAATCTATTAATCCTAACTAACCCTGTTGTCTTAATTTTTATGCATTAGACTAAAATAGAAGCTATGATAGATTTAGGTTGTTGATAGCTAGTAAGGGGTTTTTGAAATTTATAGTGATGCTGTGTTGTTTGTCATTCATGGTCATGGTATGTGGTTATGTCAACACAGGAATTTAGTTCAAGTGTGTTGCTAATATGAATTCCAGTCAGTTGTAACTTGTATCTTGGGCAGCACTAATGAGTTACTACCCCTGTCCCAAGAAACTTGACATTCTAATTTTGTTCTAAGTCTGACTATCTTAAGTTTGACTAAGTTAAAAAATTCTTAGACTTGTATTACCAAATAAATACAATTAAATTTTTCATGGAACATATTTTTTGGTCTCGTAAATTATGACAATGTTTATAAATTTGGTCAAGCTTAAAATAGCTAACTTAGGACAAACTTAGAATAACAGGTTTTTGAGATGGAGGGTATTTGATCAACAAGAGATCATGTCTTTTTATAGTCATATAAATGAAACTGTTTCATTATGATTACGCTTTAATATTTTTCTGACACTCCTTTATAATTGTTCTTTAACTTTTTATTGATTTCGTATTTAAATTTCAACTTTTTATTGTTCTGTTTATTATTTGCTCTGTACATTAATGTTGCTATTTAGGTAGGTTGCACTTGAAACATATAATTACTCTGCCTACACCTGACTCTTTCTTGTACTAGACTCTCGATGGACGGAGCATACGGGTTAATCATGCTAACGAGAGGACAGGTGGCTTCCGCGGCAGCGGTGGCGGTGGCTATGGTGGTGCTGGCTATGGCGGTGGCGGTGGCTATGGTGGTGGCGGCAGCGGTGGATATGGCGGTGGCTATGGTGGTGGCAGCGGTGGATACGGTGGTGGCTATGGTGGCAACAGGGGTGGTGGTGACTATGGTGGTGGTGGTGCTGATTATGGAGTTGCAGGTGGAGCTGGAGGCAACTTTGCTGCTGGAGGTAATGATAGCTTTGCCAGCAGTAACTTTGGTGCTGACAGTGGTTTTGGTGGAAACCCTGCTGGTAGCTTTGACGCAACCAGTGGTTCCACTGGCGCTGATGAGTTCTCTGCTGGCACACTTGGTGGTGACTTAAGCGGTAACAAGAATGATGAAATCATGGATGATATGTTGAAGGACGATGAGCCTGACAGCTACGCCGACAAGAGGAGCTAGTTTTTGTCCTCTCGTCAAGATAAGAATCCAGTACGATCTGTATTCGGTAGTGTTTCCTGTTAACATGATAGGTGCCTGATGTCTAAATAATGGAACGAGTCTTTCTGTTGAGTCTGATAGGTGCCGGCAAACTGGCATACTTTCATGTTATCTAAATAATGGAACGAGTCTTTCTGGGGTCTTGAGTCAAATAGTGAGTTGTCGGAGTTGCTGTACCATCATTATTTGTGTCATACAGCGGAACTATTTTTTTGCACCAGCAGTACCGTTTCACCGACTATAACATCACATCGGCCTTCCAAAGGCTATTATTTAATTATTAGCTAGCTAATTTTAGCTTAAATTAGCTGAGTACATCCAGACAGGAGGACTATTTTTTAGAAGTTTTTAACTAGTCGTTATCCGACTTGCTAGCGGACTACAATTAATTTAAGTTACTGAATCAAATATGGCCTTAGTTTAGCTTTGCCTTGCACCTAAATGCACTTAGGTCTTGTCCGGATGTTGTATTGAAAAACTATAGGCTTTTAGAACCTATATAGATGTGCAAAACTATGGTTTAGAAAAAAGAGGTTTATAATAAAGTTTATAAATCTTTAAAAGACTACAACTACAACAATACTATGATTTTTAAAACCATATAAAGTATGAGCATCCAAACACTTCGGTAGTGTTTGGTTGGATGGATCGTCCTGTATGGATGGATTATGGATGAGAGAATTCTGAATAAGGTGGTGCATATGTTGATTATTTGGTTATCTGTAGGATGATATGTGATTTCTGTTTGGATAACTGTATGAAATGATAAGATTTGGTACAAGATCATTTGGTTTGTTATATGGGTCCATCCAAAAAGAGAAATTCGTGTGCCACATATTTGCACAAACTTGCCATTAGTAATTCAACAAAAAATGATGATAATAGTAAATAGTAATATTGAGAGGCAACGGAATTTATTGGAGGTGAACCCCGCTGAGAGACGTGAGTGCGATTCCTAGGAATCGAACTCACGCCAGCTGCACGCCCACCAACTGTGCTAGCCACCCGAGCGTATGTCTCCAACTTGATTTACTACAAAAATATATTTCAAATAAGTGTAATGGTACTTATTTTATATCATAAATATTAATATTTATTTTTTAACTTTAATTAAATTTTAAATCGTTTGAGTCATCGAAAAGTGATAATTGTATTCTTTTGGAGATGCCCTCCATTCTTTTTTATAAGGCATAGTTTGATATTATGACGGTATGATACAGCCTCTTAAATTGCACCTTGGGCATTTATTTATTTTGTATTATATTGTTTATACTTATAAAATTATGATAATTAGATAATACATTTAATTATAAATCTAACCGTATTGAGTTTATATTATAATAATTAAAATCTGTTAGCTAAATTACTAGTAAAAAATTTTAAAGCTTAAATCTTGATATGCATGTGTATCTTATAAAAAAATGAAGAGAGTATGTTTTTGCAGCATCCTAATTCAGCATTATTAGTAATCTTAGACCTGTATCAAAAAGAATGGAGTATGTTTGTCTCCCTGGTCGGGGATATCACTAGGAAATATGAACCTTAAAATTGTACTCCCTCCGTCGTTCCAAATTATAAGATATTTTAGCTTTTTTTCATTCATAACTTTTGCTACACACCTAAATAAATTAATATCTACGGAGGGAGTAGCTAAGTAGCGGTAGCTATAGTCCTGAGTTATCCTGTATCGTGATGGATGTCTGGTTCTAGAAGTAATATATCAGCCACAATTTATCTCTCTCCTTCCCTTATTTTTCCCTTCTCATCTTGTGTGGATTTGCTTTCTCCGTTGCTGATCCTCCACTACAAGAAATGTGTCATTATATGACGTTTATCCAGAGTTAGTAGTCTTTGGCCAAATTCATCTCTTCCAAAGCCTCCGTTCTTTGGATTCTGTCCGCACGGCGTGGTGGTTGCGACTCACCTGCCTAAAATCCATCCCGCCCTACCAAATCCATTAAACAACACCCCATTTCTCCCCAAATCCACAGAAGAATCGATCTCCATTGATGGTTGCAAGGTGTTTCATTTGTAAAATTTCGGGGAACTTGGTGGGAATCACTCAGACAAGTTTTGATGTAAAATTCCGGAGTTGAATCTATGATTCTAGCGGCGGTAGACATCTTCTGCAGATCTTATTGTAGTATGTTTTATCGCAAGTACTAGCTTGTAAGTTACGACTTAGAAGACAAGTAGTGAAGTAGGATACATTAAGGTTTAAATTGTTCTTTAAAATTTATAGCCCAATTCAACCCCACTTGGGCCATTGGATTCTTTCAATCTCAATATTGGAGTTTTGGAATACATGGGCACCATATAAAATCTAAACAAGGAAAGCGTACTTGGGAACAAAATTTAATATCAAGATCAGACTAAAAATTCTTACTAATAACAAATAAAAGAAATAAAATGGAGAAAAAAGTATGAGAATTGTTGGGAAACAGTTATGAGTCGCGGAGAGCAAAGTTTGCAGCAGCAATAAGAACTGACGGTTAACGAGTTTTACGAAAAGTGTGTGCAGGGAAAAAAAGGCAGAGGCCTTCGCCCGACCGATCATCCGAGGCGAAGGCCAAGGAGCTGCAGCAAGGCACTAGAACACGGTCGAAGGCGGAGGCTCCTGCGGAACGAGCGAAGGTCGTGGTTCGGGCGACGGAGGCGAGGGCCCCGGCGGAGGCTTCCCAGACAAAGGCCCCGGGTCCCAGGAGAACTCCCACTCGGTGGTAGCGCTGGGCTGTGGGCCGATGACGGGCCGCCGACGGTGGCCCAACAGGCAAAGGCGATCGAAGAAGAAGATACCCAAACTACCTCAGACAACTTGTATAAGTATAGGAATGTTCCGGGAACATACTATAACCGACAAGGGGTAAAATTATAAAGAGTAGCTCTAGTAAGCAGTGTCCTATAAAAGGAGACTCAAACTCTGTACAAAGGAGGTTGATGAATACATTAATGAAACCCTAATTGTGCCTGAGCCCAGGGCACCCGGCTGGGCGAAGGCCTACCGTGCATCATTTGCTGCAAACCTGGTTTTCCAACATTGGCGCCCACCGCGTGTTGGCCGAGCAAAAACCGTGATGGCAAGAAAGAGAGCAGCCTTCGCGAGGGCACCCACGGATCCTGCACCAAGGGGAAAACCCAGACATAACACCCATAGCGCTTACACCACTGCCACGAAAGACCAAGCCACAGAGGAGCCGACCGACGAAGACTAGCCTCCGGCACCTGAAGAACAGCAAGCCCCAAATCCTACCCCAGAACAAGAGCTTCAGCAGCTACAGGCGCAGCTGCAAAACATGCAGCGAGAAAGGGATAGGGTCGCAGCAGCCTTCGCTGCTAACCAATAGGCAGCCCAAACATCAGCCCAGGTAGTGGAGATCAGGCAGCAGCTAGCCGTCTTATAGGCCGAAATACAAAGTATGGAGCCTCCGTAACTCCCTTCCAGCACACCCAACCAGCTTCACTCTGCAAGTTGAAGCCAACCCAACCCCTCACTAGACATAACAGCTCAACCAATCTTCAACATGCCCTACATCTTACCACAAATCCATAGAACCATCGATTCCAAATCACCACTATCCGAGGGCATCCAGAACTCACTTTGGCCTCCCTCCTATAAACCCATCACCTTACCCAAATTCAATGGAAGATCAGACCCACGTCAATTCATCGTGAGCTTTGAGGCAGCAGTAGCTTCCGCCGGTGGAAATGAAGCGGTACTAGCCAAATCTTTCATCATCGCAGCTGAAGGCGACGTGCTAGCCTAGTATTCAATGCTGAAGACAAGTTCTGTCTATTCACGGGAAGACCTTCACGACAAGATCTTAGCAAAGTTCAAGGGATTCACAAGTGAATCCTTGACTTCCATGGATCTGTTTCAATGCAAGCAGAATCAAGGAGAAGCCTTGAAAGACTACTTCCAGAAATTCGCACAAATGAATGAAAAAGCACCCAATGTCCCGAAAGACGTTGCTATCAAACCAGCGATCAAGGGCCTTCGCATAGGACCCTTCGTAGCTCATCTAGCCAGGGAAAAGCCAAGGACCATCAAAGACCTCTACATCGAATTTGAGAAGTATTGTAGATCTGACAATGACCTCTGCAGAAGGATAGAAGAGCAAAACCAGGGCAAGCAGTTCCAGGGCAATGGCAGGAATGTCCAGAGAGGCAGTAGAAGCCAAGGCCAGCCACGACAACAGCAAGGGCAAAGCCAGCAAGTCTTTAATATAGAACAATGAAAGTGCAATCAAGCCCTAATTGTGGGTTTTGGTGATAATGACCGCGCAATTAGAGAACTAATGAGATTTATCAAGATGACAAGCAGGGAATCTATATTCGAGGATGTTACACGAAACGGAAGAGCCCCCAATTACAAATGTCGATGGCTTCAAACTCAAATGAGATTTAAATTCTTTTATATTTTGAATTTGACTATAAGAAAAGCCGTACTATAAAGGGGGACACAATGCTTAAGCTAACATGTGCTACCAAGTGGTCAATCTTACACATACATCCTCAGTTACTCAGCCAAGATAGGCAACACTTCACTCTTACCCTTGTTGTCTTGCCTGGTGCGGTAGTGCTGCACCCGGAGAGAGGCACTGCCGTAGTGCGGCACTACCGCACTTGAGCCACGACACTGCCGCGACTTAAGTGACCGTTGGGGTTGGGGGGTACTTATACCTTTTCCTTTCCTCCCCAACATCTCTCTTCTCTCTCCCACTCATTCAGCTCATCCAAGAACAGAAGAGTGCCCTTCTCTCTCTCCTCCATTGGTGACCTTGAGCTCCCAAGCATTCTCCCTTGATTTTCCCATCAATCTTTGAGAGAAAAATGTTCCAAACTCAATTAGAGAGCAGATCCTTTGATTCCCCAACTCAAAAGAGCACTTGGTTCATGTTTTGGCTAGCGGTTGTGTTTATTACTCTTGGATCTTTGCTCCTAGCCGGCTATAGCGTCGCCTG